CCCCCATCCCCCCGTCCCCCGTCCCAGCTTTACAGTGGCCAGTCAGAATGGAGACAATAAGATTTATCATAATGAGAAGTGGTTGCTCATGGGAAAAGCACAAACTCATTCTGCATTTCTTTCTCAGGGTATAAAATGAGCAGGGGCATGGCCCATCAACCTGCACTCCATATTCCATACTGTGTGTTTTTACCCTCAATTTTCTCTAGGATCAACTTGTTTTCTTTTTAAGTTGAAGCAAGACTGTCTTTCTCTTGGAATGACAGACACAATGTATATGGGTCTGTCTTACTTTAAATTGCTGTAAAAGGCCAGGTCTGGTGCAAAGCAATGACAATCCCAGAATGTCTAGATGTGTAAGGTCCTGCTTCTTTCTGTGGTTGTACTAGAGCTGTCATGGAAACCAGGAAGGACTGTGTTGTTCCCAGGCTGCTTGAAGCCTATTTGGTGCCACTGAGAATTCACCAGAAGCAGAACTATGAGACAACCAGGAGAAAAGCTGTTGAGTTAAGAAAATTAGAGAATTAAGATTTTAACTGAAACAGGAGCAGCTTATGAGAAAATTCAGATGGAGGAGATGAAAGAGAATTTGGGATAGAGGCAGCGTAGGACTGGGTATGCTTGGTTAGAAGCAAGCCTATGCAGGTCCTGCTCGCAAAGGGAGCACAATGTAGACAACAATTGCCACAACGAAATGAATGGTCCAAAGATATCATTCTGCTTGTCTTAAGTTATATTTGTAGAAGGAGATGAGAAGGATGGACTGTTGTGGAAGAGAAAGGAACCGTGTCTACACCTGCAAGCAGGAGATCTGAACTGTGTCCAGAGAGAACCAGAAGAGCTGCCAGCAAGACACAGTTGTAAAGTTTAAGCCCGAAGAAAAAAATGATTTCATCAAAAAGACCCCAGACCCATTTCAAAAGAAGAACTGAGCATGCCCAAAGTGGTGTGGAGCTCATTACCACAAGAGACAAGAGCAGGCAGAGTCAGGCAATGCATATATATGCTATGTATAGGGATATTGTGTAATCCTATGCATATGTAATACGTTGGGGAATAAATGGAGAATAAGGGACAGTGGGGCGCACACATGTCTTTGGGAGATGACTCTGGCATGTCACTTGGCTGTAATAAATATACCCTCCCTAACTTTAAATAGTTAGAGAGTCCTTTGTGATTTTATTGCTTCATTTGGTGACCCAGATGGGACCCTCCTCTGCTCTGCTGTGAGACCAGCCCTGGGGGTGACATTTGAGGCACGCCCCAGGATCTTCCTGAAGAGCTCCACTCCCTGGCGGCTGTTCATCATGGTAGTAGGCATCAGAATTATGGACAAAACTGTATGTTGAACTAAATTTGGGAGGAAATTAATATCTGACCTGTAAGGTGTACTCATGGTTAAAGGCTAGTTGGTAGATCAGGAAGATGCTCCGTGTGCAGCAAAGAGCCTGTGTAGTTTTGCTTGCAAGCAACAGGTATTTGGAAGCTGTCAAAGGGGTTTCTGTTGACCACATGTGTTGGCCACTAGCGAGTCTGGGGGTAGCTCAAGCAGAAACGAAGGTATTCTCAGTGTTTTTTAATTATCGTTGTTGTTTTGTGGTTGTGGTATTTAGTTCTGTTCTGGTTGAGAGTGTTATGTGGGTGACTGAGTCATGCTTTTCTGTGTTGTGGTTTATTTGTGGGGCAATGTTGCCATTTTGTGGTGAAAAATATTCTTGTGTTTACTGTGGGTTTTTTTTATTGTGTTTAATGTGTTAGGTTTGTGTTGTTCTGTATTTTTGTTTTCTTAGTTTGATGGCTTTTTTGTAGTAGTTTTACAAGTAAAATAATGAGGTTAATTTGTAAAAAAGGGACATCTAATCCTTGACACCTAGGATGTTTTTGAATAGAACAGCTGAATAAGTGGCTGAAGCATTTACAAATAGAAATAGAAACAAGAACTGGAGGAGACCAAATGTAGTGGAGGTTGACTGCCCAAAGGGTTGCCCATGTGAGCCCTGGATTTGTTTTTGCTATACTAAGTATAAGGAAATGTGGTATAGACACACATTTCGATGGAGACTGCCTCCATAGTCACTTTGTCACTTGTGTTATTCAGAGGAAACATGCTACTCAGAAAGCTACAAGAGTTCTGTTTATAACTGGCCAGGAGAAATACAGAAGTAGCGGAATATTTAGAAGCCAACAAAAGGAGGCTCTATTGACCACACAGGGTGGCTGCTGGCAAGTTTAAGAGTAACTTGAACAGAAACCATAGTATTATCGATATTATTCTGTTACTATAACTTTTACCGTTTTATATGTTTTGTATAAATTTGGTTTAGCAGCTATTGTATTCATTTTTGTAGTAACACTGCCAAAAGGCATAATTACAACAGGTCAGTTGTGGCAGTGTGCCTCAGGGGTGACAAAGAGTTACATTGTCCCACCCCAAACCCCTTGTGAAGGGTGGCCCAGGTGCTCTGATTGGGTTTGAGTCCCTGGTGGGGTTCTCCCTTGGTGTGTTTCTACTGGTCCCTGACCCTGAACTCCACCCTCAGGGGTGGAAACCCTCAAAAGTTCTGTCCCTCAAAAACCCCTGCTGTGCTTCTGTTTGGGGCTCCCTGTTCTCGACCTGAGTTTGTTCCCATGCTGAATAAATGGTTTCATGAACTGGAGCCCGTCTCAGTTGGTGTTCCATGCTGGTCCCCAGAATCCTTGTGGCTTCCTGGACGAGATCCTGAAGTTGCTGACTGCAACAAATGGTGAGAGAATGCGTGGCATCCAGCAAAGCACCAGGAGAACAGCAGGACCCGGCTCCATGGACATTCCGTAAGTCCCCAGCTGATGGCTTGAGAGCCAGCGAGACCCCCGCCTTAGAGAGGAGGACTCGAGAGTACCTGGCAGGGAGGCTGGGTTGAGTGCCTCGGGCATGGGGAAGAAAAGGGCTTACGGAGGTGGGGGAGCCGAGACCAGACGCTGGGACAAACACCTAACATCACCCAACGAGACGTATTATGGACGATATTAACAGTATGGACGATTATGGACGGTATGGCTCTTCCGGTGGACTGCTTTTTGTCTTCTGTGAAGTTCCTCATTTTTTTTTTTTTTCGTGTATACCTCCCTGTACCTTCCCCCCTCCTATGTTCCTAAAGGGCAGGACAAAGGATGAAAAAAGCCAAGATGACTCGGGGCTGCTGCTGTCTCCCCGTCACCCCAGTGTCTTTCTGCCATCCCATTCCCTGTTTTCCTGAAGGCAGGCAAGGGACGGAGAACATCCAGAGTGCTGCGGGTCTGCTGCCGTCTGCCCGCTGTTCCGTGTCCTCCTTCACCCCGTCTTTCCATATTCCCTGTTCCCGGTCCAGGAAAGTCCGTCCCGGACCCCACCCCCATCCCAAGATGGCGCCGGCCATGCGGTCTGGGATCCCTTGTTTCCCGCCTTGCTCCTTCTATTCCGGTCCCGAACCTTCCCTTCCCCCGGTAACTCCTGCTTCGCTCCTAGGCCTTTGTTCGGCTGATCCACCCCTGGGGGCTCTGCCTTTTCCATCGTGGGCAACACCCCCTCTGGAGAAATCGAAACTGTAACCGAGCTCCCAAAGCCAGTGCTTCACCGAGATCATCTAAAGAGGCGACGCCCACATGGGAGTCGAGCCGAAGCTGGAGATAGAAGAATTCTGCCCCTCGTGAGAGGAGATCTAAGAGTTGCACCCTTCCTGAAAGAGAATCCTAAAGTGGAAGAGACTGAACTAAAAACCCATTATATTTGTATTGAGTACCATCACTGTTTACTGAGATTTAAGTGTTTGTTTTTAATTTTGGGGTTTTTTGTTTGTTTGCTTAATGTGTTTTGTTATTGAGTTTTTGGTGTCCCACAAAGCAAAGTGGGTGCTCTGTGGAGGAGGCGAGATTTTAAGGTGTATGTTTGGAAAAATTTTAAGCTCCTAGTTAAAATTTGAAAAAAAAATATATTAAAAAAATAGAAAAGGAGCAGATGTGGCAGTGTGCCTCAGGGAGACAAAGAGTTACACTGTCCCACCCCAAACCCCTTGTGAAGGGTGGCCCAGGTGTTCTGATTGGGTTTGAGTCCCTGAGAGGTTCTCCTTTGGTGTGTTTCTACTGGTCCCTGACCCTGAACTCCACCCTCAAAGGTGGGGACCCTTGAGAGTTCTGTCCCTCAAAATCCCCTGCTGTGCTTCTTTTGGGGCTCTCTGTTCTTGACCTGAGTTTGTTCCCATGCTGAATAAATGGTTTCATGAACTGGAGCCCGTCTCATTGGTGTTCCATGCTGGTCCCCAGAACCCTGTGGCTTCCTGGACGAGATCCTGAGGTTGCTGACTGCAGCAGTCAGTAGTTTTGTGGTTTATGGTTTCAGCTCAAACCGAGCAAGTTTTTGAGTGAGGAGGGCATTGGGCCTCTGTAAGATGAAAAGATGGAACAGCAGACTGTGTGTACTTAAAAATACATTCAGACTCAGCAGGTCATTATTTAGCTCTCGACTAGGAACAACTTACAGTTGAGAAAGAACTTAGAAATCTCAATATACAGGGATAAAGAGGAATAATTCCCTGTTTGATGTGTGAACTGACAATTTGGCATTAGGAATCAAGGTGGCATTCAGCCTGGCTTCTCCTTCAGTGTCAGCAGTGTAAAAAGAAGTGGTATTGTATATCTAACAGGTGAAAGCTACTTTCTCCAGGTGTACCCTGGAGCTGCCAGGATATTATAATTAAGACTTAGCTCATGCTAAATGCGAAATAGTAAACTTGACCTGTTAAAAGAGCCATTTGGTCCCCGAGATTTGTGATGTTTTTTGAATACAATTGGGAAAAAGTAAAAGATCAGTGTAAACAAAAGTTTGGGTGGAAATTAAAGAAACTAAGAAAGAGCAAAAACAGGTGAAATTTCTTGTTGATACAAGGGTGACATATTCAGTTTTAAAAAAAGTTTTAACTCCTGAGGAAAAAATTGTATTTTGATTAAAGGAGCCACTAGACAAGTTGAAAAAGCTTATTTTTGTGAACCACCAAAATACAAATTGGAAAAGGGATTTACTTAAACAATTAAATGCAGCAATCAGATTTGAAAAAGGGGAAATTACTCTGGCGGTAACAATGCATTTACATCAACAATGCATTTGCATAATAAGTTTACTTTTAGTTGATGTTCCCATAGAAGAAGAAATCAGTGAAGACATTATAAGCCAAGTCTATTCTGGAGTGTGAGCCACTGAGAAGACAGAAAGAGCTAAAAGTGCATCACTGGTAGAAGTAAAGCTTAAAGAGGAACAATGACTGGTAAGGAAAAAAACAAGAAATAAAACCCAAACCAATATTTTTTAAAGAATAAAAATAAGAAAGGAATTCAACCATTCAACCAAAATCCTTTGCAATAGGATTTTTTAATAGAATGTGAATCTGGTTTTAATATTTTCATATTACTGGTCCAGAAACCTGATAAAATATATATAGAATAGTCCAAAATTTAAGAGCTGTTAATAAGATTGTAGAAAATTTATATCCTGTAATAGCAAAATGGTATTAATGCCAGAACTAACTTGGTTTACTGTTCTAGATTTGAAAGATGCTTTCTTTTGCCTCCCACTCCATGAAGCCAGCCAAAAGATATTTGTCTTTGAATAAGAAAATCCTAAAAGCAAACAAAGGATCCAGCTCATTTGCACTGTGCTGCTTCGAGGATTCCCTCACCATATGTAGCAACCAGCTTGCCAAAGATCTTGAGTTTTGGGAAATGCTAGCCAGGAAGAGAAGACTGCTATAATATGTAGATGACATCCTGACTGCCACTAAGACACAAGATTCTTGCACAGCCTGGGTGGTGAGTCTCTTAAACTTTTTGGGGCACCAAAGGTACTGAGTGTCTAAGAAGAAAGCCCAGGTAATGCAGCAGGAAGTCACTTACTTGAGGTACTAAATAAGTGCAGGGCAAAGAATTCTGGGACAAGCCTGCACAGCCACAGTCTGTAAAAGATATGAGAACCTTTCTCAGAATGACCGAGTGGTGTTCCCTTTAAATCTAATTATGGAGTGCTTGTTAAACCACTGTATACACTATCAACTCTAAAACAGAAGCATTTGCAGTAGGACCAACAAGCCACACAAGTCTTTGAACAATTGAAAAAGGCCCTGGTGTCAACTCCAGCTCTGAGACCCCTTGACGTAAGATCTGTTTTTTGTTTAAACAGGGAATCACCCTGAGAATATTGGCACAAGATTTAGGTCCATATCACAGAGCAGTTGCCTACATCTCCAAGTGATTGGATGTGACCGCAAAAGAATGGCCAGGATGCCTGTGTGCAGTAGCAGCAGTGGTGCTCAATGTCCCGGAAGCTCAAAAATTTACCTTGGGACAGAGAATGACTCTCTTGGTGTCTCATAAAGTGTCTGCAGTATTACAAGTTAAGGATGGGCACTGGCTTTCTCCACAGAGGTTTCTGAAGTACAAAGCCATAATGGTAAAACAGGATAATGTGGAGACTGTGCTCACTAACTGTCAATCCAGGTTCTTTTCTCAGGGGAAATGCAGGAACCATCACACAATGACTGCTTGGAAACCATTGAAGCACCATACTCAAGCTGTCTGGATCTGAAGGATGCTCCTATAGAAGATGCAGAGGACTAGCTCACAGATGGAAGCAGCTATGTCCTGAGTGGCAAAAGGCATGCAGAATACTCCATTACCACTACCCATGAGGTAATAGAGTCAGAGATATTGCCTGTCAATACCTCTTCCAAAAGGCAGACACAATTGCCTTGATCCGAGCCTTGGAATTGGCCCAAGGTAAGAACGTGAACATATACACAGATTCAAAGTACGCTTTTGGAGTTGTGTATGCTCATGGAGCAGCCTGAAAGAAAAAGGGGGCTATTGAAGTCCCAAGAGAAAAACATTAAATTGCTGGAGGCAGTACAGCTCCCAAAGAAAATAAATCAGAATTTAAAAAAAGAAACAAGGTGGCGGACACAGAGGCAAAAAAGCAACAAGGAGAGAGGTAGCTTTAATCCCAAAAAGTAAGCAAAATAAAGCTAATTACAAACTTAGAGGAAACATATAATAAAAAGAATAGGCCTGTACTCCAAAAAGAAAAGTAATCACATCTAACCATTTAATGTGGTGTGCAGTAAAGGAAGAGCATAGAAAAAGCATTAGGGAACAGAAGCCCTGTATACAATATGATCTCCACCTCAAGACTAATCTCAAAAGCACCCCAAAGCCAGAAATGGGTTAAATTTCTCCTTAAAAGAGAAGGAATGAACCCAGTCAACAATAGCAAATTAATTTTTTCAAACTCCCAAGAAAAAGGGAGTTTCACTATTTATTAATGCTAACTGATACCTTTTCAGGATGGACTGAGATTTTTCCCACCAGGACTGCTAAAGCTCAAGAAGTGGTCAAGGTATTAGTCAAAGAAATAGTACCGCAATTTAGGGTTTTGGTCATCATTTCCTCAGACAGAGGATCCCATTGTTTTTTACAGGTGGTACAAGTTAACAATACTCTGGGTATGGATTGGCAATTACATACCCCATATTGTCCCCAGTTAAGTGGACAAGTAGAAAAATAAACCATCTGATCAAACACCAAATTGTAAAACATTAGCATGTGCGGGCAAAGAAATGATAACAGAATCTATGGTGTCCCTAAGGAAACCACTCAATAATATCCAGAAATATGTATTAAGAACTCATTAGATGGGCCAATACATAATGTGCAACCTAGAGATTATGTATATATAAAGTCTTTTGCAGAAAAAACTCTAGGACCACAGTGAAAAGGACCATACCAGGTGCTTCTCACCTCCTTCACCTCCATCAAGATCAGAGAAGAAGACTTCACAGTCATCACAGAAAATCAAGCAAGTACAACCTAGAAAGCTCTGTCTCTCACAATCATAGTCATAACTGGCTATAACAGATGCCAGTGCAAGACTTTCTATATACAATGTGACTAGTATTTATATTTGTCAGGGAAAAACTTTAACTTTATAGGTCTCTGTGGCAGGAGTTAAAACTCACAAGTGCAACTGTCTAGACAGGGAGAGATGTCTTAGGATGCAAATTTACATTTGTGCAAGATGAATTCTATCAAAGGCCTATAAAACCCATCCAAATTAGTATGGAATGTTGTGACACATGTTTAACTAACTGTTCTGAATTTAGGCTTAAATATTTGTCTAGATACAGAACAGAGCATTTGTCACTTTGAAATCCATTTGGTTAACCAAACCCAGACAACTTTGTTTGTGTATATAAATCAAGGTTATGTATGCCTCAGAACAGCATGCTCCACTATAGTAGAGGACAAGCTCACCATAAATGAAGCATACTTCTATTTATGCATTTGTAACTTTATCAAAATTGAAGGATGTGACTTTTCTGACCAGACACCTGTTGTATCACGTCAGTATTATACCAGTATATTAGAATCTGACCATTGTCCAGGAAATATCGCCTGTGCCAATAGGAATAAATTTGACTTTAGTCAAACAATTAAAAAAAATTGTAAAGAAATTAGAAGTATAAAAAAAGAACTTTGATTATGATACAGCATGACACAGAGACCATATGGAGAGTTTTTAAAAGGTTAGAAGAAATACATCTCACTACTGGTAAGATACACTTTTTGGATAGTCACCAAAAGCAATAGACATACTTAATGCTTTAATTTACCCGACTATGATTTTACTTATTTTAGTTGGCATTCTAATTTTGTTTGTGTGGTAGGTATTAGCTCTAGCTAAAATCACTAGGGTACTTATTCATTTTTTGCCATGAGATATGGATTAGGAGAAGGGCAGAACAGGCTTAAACCTTAAAAGGAATAAAGAAACTTTATTAACAGGCCTACAAGAATAAGAAACCAGAATAAAGCTTCCAGAAACTTTCCTTCTTCCTACTTTTTTTTTTTTTTTTTTTTTTTTTCCTAACTGACTGTGCAGAGAAAAAA